ATGTACGTATGATGTACGTATGTATGTATGTAGTTATATATATATATATATATATATATATCGAATCTGACACAAATTGGATACACCTAAAACCGTTACGTGGCTCGTACGGGACAGCAATTGAATCCAAAAATTTAAACACTCGTGTCCTTTTTGGATCGATTCGGTCGCTATGAACATGTGCACTAATTATTCGCAGCAAACAGACCAAAGTATAATGAATGGGCTGTGGAAATCCAATTGTGTACATAATATCTCAAATACACAATAAGAAAATATATATGTGTATATAAATATTTTCGATACGAAGAAAGGATGCCCCATAAGTGCCACAAAAACACACAAACCAATGCTCATAAACGCATACAAACCAGCTGCAACTAAACCAACCCACACACCGAGATATACCCCTCCCCCCAGCCACTGCACATAGTTGTCTTACCGTACCATAGACCTTCGCAAGCATATGTCCGAATCGAACCCCACATCATTCTCGGCGACAAAACTTAATTATTGAACTCTACATTAACGATTCATGTAACAATCGTTACAAAGACACATCATATACAACGATCTTTGCAATTATACTATGTACATATCATGATGGAACCCTATACGCTAACGAACCCTACATTGATCCTTACTCGACGCGCTCGTCAAGTCGTCTGTATTTCTCAGCTCGCCTGGCTCACACGTGGACGTAACTAGGTCTACTATACATACATGCATCAAACAAGCGACAAACACCCACCCGCACAGCACAAATGTACATCAAAATAACACCACAACCAAACGAACCCCCAACGATGATCTTTGTTTTATGCCAGCAAACACACATCACCACAGAAGTACAGTAAAAGCAAAACTCATACAATAGTCGTTGCTGGATGCGCTCTTTCTGGATCCTGTGTTTCTCCGCTCGCCTAGCCTGTCGTAGCCGTTCTTCTTCCGCTTTAGTCATCTTTTTGGGCTTAACGGCAACAGGCGCATCGAGTTTTGCTGTAGTGGCTAGTTTCCGTGTGGGAGGTTTTACCGGCGGCTGTGGTGGAGTGGGTACGTATTGTTAGATAATGTATCATCCTTGGTCACACCTGGGAGTAATAAACGGATGAATCTATGCGTAATACGTGTATAAAATTACACCTGGGAGTATTAAACGGATGAATCTATGCGTATACGTGAATAGAATGGTGTAAATCAGATGTTGTTCTTCACTGCAACACAGCCTTCTGATTTGTCCGCTGTTTGCCCCTTTGCAGTTAATTGTTTAATTTATTACAAACACGTTTTATCAATTAAACACACGCATCTTTATCTCTTCCGTGCCCTATAGCATTATAATGTACTCTTATATATATATATACCTTACTTACCTCGGAATCCTATAGATTCTTCCTATCCTTCCTGCTTCACCCGTTGTAGTTCTCATTGACTATATACAACCACATTTGTACCCGCATACAATCTTATGTACACGCACACAGCCTTATGAATGTAAAATCCACATATATATACGATTGCACGCATTCATATATATATACACATAAAACGCATTCGTACTTTCTTCATCACGGGTAATGGTTCGGACTCGGCCAGACCCAACTCCACTACGCGGGCCCTATTCTGTAGCATTTCATTTTCGCTGATGCGGCGTTGCTCTTCTTCTGCCGTCTCATATGCTATGAACTCTGCCTCACTGTCAGAGGTCTCGTCATTCTCTACTTCACTATCAACTTCTACCACCTTTCTTTTCTTGGACCCTATACGTATGAAGTTTGTAAGTATTGATAGTAATTATATATCTA